TGAATATCTGGGGGGGCAGCAGGGCAGTGCAGGATGGGGAAGAATAGCCCAAGCGGCACTTGAAGCTCCACCATGTTTCAAGGGAGATTGATGGATAGATGGAGATTAATTGATTGATTGATGGCTGGGAGACACGTGCAGGCCAGCTGTGCTAAGGCCTCGGCTTCCCACCCACAGCATACCTGACTACTGCCAAGGAGCTGGGCCCATGCCGATAGAGTCTTGGGTGGGGCCAGACCCTCTGAGCGCGACGGGCTCCCTTCTTCAAGCATACCCTGGAATCGGCGTTGCAGTACCCAGCTAGGTCTGCTGGAGTTGGATCAACCTCCATGGCCTCCTCCTGATGTTCCAGTGGGTCAACCTCCATTGACTCCATGTCACTCTCTGCGGTTTTGGATCGCCAGCCAAAGAGTTTCCACACGTCCTCTTTGGTTTGGCAGCTCTTGTAGTTGCCCTGAGACTGCATTTGGCAGCTTCGTTGGGCTGCAGCACACAGAAGCTGGCAATTGCTGCCTAAGGCTTCCCCGCTCCTGTCCTGCTTCGACTGCTGGCACTGCAGGCACGAACAGCTCAGCAAGTGGTGGCCAGGGGCAGGGCTGCCTTTTTATGGGGCGGGGAACAATGGCAGTGAGGAGGTGGTATGTGACATCAAGACGCCACTGTGATGGCGGCGCAAGCACATGGCTGACCATGGCTCCCTTTGGCTGCCGGGTGCCTGGCCTGAAAGAGGACCTGCCTGGGAAGAGCAGGGTGCCCGGGGCTGAGGTGCTCTGCCCCTGCCCAGTCCCACACTGGTGGGACCCACTCTCCTCACCTCCTGCCACCCGATGCGTGCTTGGGGGAGGAACTGCTGCTCTGGTCAACAGAAGGTGAAACAGCCACTGGCTCTGACATGGCCAATTTCCTTCTCCAGCCAATGGCTGCCTGTGATCAGAGCAAACCCTTACAGCCCTGCTGGCTCTCAACCTGCTGGTGGGCTGCCCCAAGCCTGGCAGTTGCAGAATTTGCCATAAATTTCAGATCAGACCCCGCTAGTTGGCAATATCCTCTCTCCTCCAGCCCTGGCCCTGGTGGGAGGCTGAGTGCTCCAGCCAGCACCCTCTGCTCTACAATGCAAAGACCAATATATGGGTTAAAAAACAAAAAAACGTGGTTATGGGACCTCTGTGTGTAAAGCGGCCAAGTGCTGTCCCCACATGGCGTCAGACCTTTCCTTTCCCTGGAAACCTCCCTGCTATCCCCACACTCCCTTACATCTTGGACTTCATACCTCTCTGATACCCAAGAAGGAGGGGTATCCTGCCAGGACGATGGGGCTGGATGGCTGCCCACCCTCTCGGTCACTGGGGACCGTACCAGGTGCCGGCAGGAGGGATAGAGGGGAGCGCAGCCAGGGGTGGGCTGTGCAGCAGCTGAGCGCTCCCGGGCATGGGCAGCCCTTGCTCTGTGTGTGTGTGGAGCAGGCACGGACTTGCTGCAGCAGTGGCAGGCTGAGCCCTGTGGGTGCCGGTTCCCGAGTCTTTGGGCTCTGCCACTGCCATGCTGGGGGAGCGGAGGGGCCATCTCAGGACGGCAGGTCTGCAGGGGGCAGTGGGGACGTGGCGGTGGAGAACTGTGCTAAGGCCTCAGCCTCCCGCCGCAGCGTAGCTGTTTTCTGTGCCCCCTCTTGGTTGCATTCTGTTGGGGGGCTGACCACTGCCAAGGAGCTGGGCCCATGCTGACAGAGTCGTGGGTAGGGCTGGAACCGCTCAGCGCAACGGGCTGTCTTCTTCAAGCTTAGCCTGGGATCAGCGTTGTGGTACCATCGCAATGAGCCGGGGCTTGCACAGACGCGTTTGCAGACCAGGGCTGTTGCATGAATATGGGTCCGTGTGTGTGCAGGGTTTGCAGGAGCACCGGCTCTGCAGTTGTGGTGGGGACATCACTGCGGCCGTCCCCCACGGGGACCCCTGCTCTCATCCCCCACACAGCTCCAGCGATGGTCTTTCTGAAATGGCTTCAGCCCATTTGTAGCCAAAATGCTTCCTCAAGCGTGGCCTTTTTTATTCAAAAGACCTGAGCCAAAATGCTTCCTCGAGCGTGGCCTTTTTTATTCAAAAGACCTGAAAAAAAAGCAGCAACCAAAAGCATCTTGCTCCTAAAACCACCTTAAAGCAGAGCATCCCCCAGCACTGTCTGGCCACCCCTGGAAGGGGGTACATCAGACTGTCACCTCGGGGAGGGGGGATAGGTTTTGTGGAGACTGAGCATCCCTGCCAGACTCCACCCAGCATCCACCCTCTTACCCAGGTTGGTGACCCCCGGCACCAGCAGCACCCGTCTGCAGCAGAGGTGCGGTCACCCTGGGCAGGGCCACCCCAAGGTCCCCCCTTGGCAGCAGAGAGCCGCCCTCATCCTCCCCACCCCCAGCAAACAGGCACAAAATGAGGAAGTGGGAGGAGGAAAAAAAAGATTAGTTGCAATTTGTAGTTGCAGCAGAAACACAAAAGCAAAGCGCTTCGAGATGGACTTGGGCCCTTGGTGACAGGAGCCCCGAGCGCCCCATCCCCGGGGGCAAGACGCAGGGACGCCATGGTGAGTGCAAGCAGGGCCCTCGCTGGGCTCCCCCCACCCTGTCTCCCTCGGGCACCCTGGGGATGTCACCCTCTCTTCCTGCCACCTCAGGGCTATCTCAGCCCTGTCCTCTCCTGCACCCATCGTGGTCCCTTGCTGCTTTCCAGGAGGTGCCAGGAGCCCGCCCGACATCCCCGCTAGGGAGGGGACGATGCTGCCCCAGCTTGGGGACAGGGAGCGGAGCTGGGGCTGGGTGAGGCACTGGCACAGGGCGCAGTGGTGGGGGGAGCAGCCGGGGATGGGTGCCGGGTGCTGGGTGCAGGATCGGTGCCCCCAGAAACACTGACCCAAGCAGGATGGAGGGCACCAGGCGGTGAGGCTGGGCCGACACAAAGTGGTTTTGATTTTGCCATCGCCGGTGCACTACCCACAGGAGAACCTTTGTGTTCCTCTTGGCCCAACTTCCCACCAGCGGTTCTGGTTTCAGCGCTCATGGTGCCGGCGGGGTGTGGGCAGAGCACAGCAGGGTGACAGGGGCTGCCAGGGGCAGCCGTAACCCCCAGGCCGGCTCAAGCCAGGAAGGACCCTCTGGGTGCCAGTGCCCAGGGTCGGACCTTGCACCTTGGCACATGGAGGGAACAGGGACCACGGGCAGGGCACAGGGCTGCTGAAAAGGCGGCGGCCAGAGCTGGGAGTTGATCTGGAGGCAGAAGAGGAAGATGAAAGCTCTCAAAATTAGGGAGATGCTCAGGCATGAAGTAAGGGTCTGCACAGTGTGGCTGCAGCTACGTCCTTCAGCCCGCGGCTCTGCTCCCTCCGTGTCTCGACGCGATGCTGTCCCATCCACCCAGCCAGGAAGCAGACAGTGGTGAGGCTGAAGCAGAGCCTTCTCCCACCCATGGTCACAGCTGCCACCTCTGAGAGGCTGCTCAGATGCTGTCCCTGACAAGACACAAACACTGTCCCCTCCTCACCGCCACCCGAGACCTGAAGTTGTTTTGTGGCTACATGAAGGGCCGTGGGGCTGTGCAGCCACGACCCCGACCCATGCCGGGGCCCAGCTCCAGGGCCAGCCCCCATCCCCAAAACTCTGGGGGAAACGTCCCATCCCCAAATGCTGCCTTGTGTCTGGGAGCTGGTGGGGTTGTGACCGTGATGCAACACCCTGTGCTGCTCTTCTCAAGGCTTCCGGTGGTTTTAAGGTGTTGGCTGCATCTGGGCTTGCCCTGTCTTCAGACAAAAGGTGCCACTTTGGGTTGCGTCTGCTCCCCGCTCGGGGCTTGCAGGGTTTTTTTGGTGGCTCAGACCTGAGCTTTGAAGAAAAACAGATGATGTTTTGCAATCCGCAGGGCCGCTCCCCTCCCTGCCTCAGCGATCCTATCGTGAGCACCGGGTGCGTCTGCAGCCCTGGGCACAGGCAGTAGCTGCGGGGGGGGGGGGGGGCCCCCCCCCCCCCCCCACCCGCGGGGGGGCGCGGGGG